AAAACCTAATCCAGAGTCTACCCAAAAGCAGACCCAAAATAATGCCCTGAGTCTCCCTTCAACGACTTTTTAATATTAACTTTAGTGACCCGACAAGCCTGTTAGAAAACCCCAACCAAAAAATAGATCCAAACACTTAACCCTAAACTCAAAACACAACCCAAAAACTAGCCCCAAAACCAATCCCCAAAAACCAGTTTCATTTAGTGACACGACAACCCTGATAGAAAACCCGAAAACCCCAACCCAAAAATAGACCCAAATACTTAACCCAAAATTCAAAACACAACCCCAAAACCAATCCCCAAAAACCAGCCCCAAAAAACCAGTCCCAATCACAAAAACCAAAATCCAATCCAGATTCTACCCAAAAGCAGCCCCAAAATAATGCCCGGAGTCTCCCTTCAACGACTTTTTAATATTAATTTTAGTGACCCGACAACCCTGATAGAAAATCCCAAAACCCCAAACTAAAAATAGACCCAAACACTTAACACTAAACACTAAACACAACCCAAAAACCAGCCCCAAAACCAATCCCCAAAAACCAGTTCCATTTTGTTACCCGACAACCATCATATCTAACCTGGAACCGAAGAACACGTCTGTGATTCATTCCATCTCCGAGATTATTAATATTATTATTATTAATTAGGAGTATATTATGGAATTTACAACCCAGAAATCATCCAATAAAATCAATTACCTGATTTTTTTTGGGAAAGCTGCAAATCAAATAAAATCTGTAGCAATGCATCGTGAATCCCTCAAATTCCACAATTAAATTGCAACGCCAATTCTAGCATTTACTCCAGCAGGTGAAGCCGAGGAATAAAGCATTGAATATGCTGTCATTTATGCCCAAAAACCTTTTTTTACTTGAAAACAACATTTCTCCTCCTTAATTCATCTTCTTCTGATGGGACTAAACCCTTGTTATCATCATCTCAAGGAACGAAAATAGATTTTAAAATTAAAAACACCCTAAAGCAACCAACCTGGAAGAGAGACAAAGATTGTTTCATTTCAAATCTCCATTTCAGATATCAAATTATATCTAAGCAAATGAGAATATATATTCAAAAGAAGAGTTTGAAAATTGATATTCAGAGAAATATAATTGTCAAAAAAAGTCACCTGAGAATGAGTGAAAAAAATGAGATTGAGTGTCAGCCTTATAAATACTCTGGTGTTGCTCTAATACCAACGTTGCCGTGACAATGTTCCCAAGTGTTCCTGCATTTTTTATTTAAAAACGCCTCCAAAAATTAAAAGCCAAACAAAGACTTTATCAATCTATATTGAGTAAAGAATATACGGAGTATATTGAACATTATATCTAAAACAAAGAAAAAGGAAAAACTGGGAAAAAAGAGTTCATTATGCTGGCAGAGTGAGTTCATTTAAAAAAATAGCAGAGTGACTCTATTCGGTTGGAATGGTTGGAACTGAATGTAATAATTCTACATTCATTTTTAGATATTATATATTTAATTCTGCTACAAATTTAGTAAATTCAACTTATTCGCCTATTTCTTCCAATTTAGGCCTAATGAAACAGGTCCTCAATACCAAAAGACATACTTTTTCTATGACCTTGTGTTGAATATACTCCTTCCGAGACTGATCCCTAGAAAATGCAACAACAATTAGCTCTGGAACTGTACCTTGTTCCAAAAAATCTTGAGTTTCTCCCCATAAATAATATCCTACAATGTATGCAATGTTTAGAATGACTGGTATCATTGACCCATGCAATGGTATGCTATTATGCATAAGAACTGACACTTTACCATTCTATTGCCTACTACTGAAAACCAAGTTAACCAAAAAATGCAGGATCAAGTTGACCAAGTTGAGAACCATTCTCTTTTAAGGCAGCTCTTTCCTAGAATATGAAGTGGAAAGAAAAGGCAAATCACACTCATACTTTTAGTACATAAACAATAAAAAAACTCAACCGAGAATAAAGTAGAAAAGGAGTCCTCATACCTGTAAAAATCCTATAAATGGAGCCAATCCTGTGCCAGGTCCTAGCATAATAATTTGAATTGATGGATCAGTTGGTAAATTGAAGCTTGGAGGACAAAAGAATATTGGAGCTGAACAACACTCAGATCTTCTCTCTTCTCTCTGATGGAATCACATTCTAATTCATTTAAACATAAGAACTTAAATATTGAACAGAAGCGTCAAGGACAAACTTGGAATGAAGTATACCAAGTAAAATGAGGGGAAATTATTTTAAACCTGACCTCACCTTAAATCTTTTTTTTACCGGTCATCGGCGGTTGTAATTTCTTGCAGAAATTTCCCAAATCTTTCTCTATCCTCAGAGCGAACAGATTGAGCTGAAGCTAGAAAATAAACATTACAAAAAGGAAAATAAAGACAAAGTGGAGAGCCCCCTTCACACCTCATTGCCTCAGAATCAATCAATCATAACATTTAGACAAAGTCAAGTAATTGTTTTGGTCTTGAACCCATTGTATAATTCCATTTCAAATCTCTTTTCTTCTTAAATTACAAATACATTTGAATTTCTTAACAACAACAACAAAAACACTAATAATATTAATATAATTGCTTGTAAAATGTTTATCTTAAGACAAATCAACATTTAAGATTTAATAATTCAGGATGGGGTGAAGTGAAGGGGTGGCGGCGGAATTCCGCTTTGACACATAGGCTCATAACCCTCCATGTCGAGAACGCCTTCTGAGAAGGAAAAACCTAGCCAAGCGCCAGGTCATATGGCACGTGTTAGTCCAACTACTAAAGAACAAAATCATGGGTCTTCTTAGCATTTGTATTAAAAACGTCCTCTGAGATACTTTCAGAAAGATTAGTTCTGGTCAAAAAAACTGTTTACTATTCGTGAAGATATTAAAAATTGAAACCTTACCGGAAATGTTGAAGTAGGTGCGCACAATGACTCTTATATAGATAGGGAGGACTTGTTTGGTCCTGTAGTTTGAGAAATAAAAGACGAGCAGTGACTAAAATAAGAAGAAAAATGATTAATACTTGAAAAGGTATACCATTAGTTGATTCCAGAAGCCTCAAAGTAGAGAGCATAGTTTGTCAATGTCAACCTACCTAGAAAATGTGTGCGTGGTCCTGTGTAACCTTCTTGAAAATGATTGTCCTTACAATGGAAATGAGAGTAAAATTGCATCAATAATAGAGAAGATCAAAGGCGGGAGGCATGCCAGGCCAACTTGTTCCTCCAATATGGCGCACAACTCTATGCGATGTCGCGGTTCCTTCCACGTGCAGTATAAACTCATTATCCGCGAGTTATATGCCGGTTGG